TAGTCAAATATAATAACCATAAATAAGAAGAAGTCGACATAATATCTAACCAGAGTGCTGCCCGGGATTGTGTGGATCTAATTGTGCTTCCATTATTACAAATTAAACTCTCTTGTTTCTCTCTTTCTTCACTTTCTTGGGGTTTTTTTTCTTAGTGCTTTTAATTAGTTGTTTATCGGAAACGGAAACAGCAATATATATTGAACGGCTGATGAATAGGATAAGAAGAAGAAAGAAGAATAAAGGAATGAATTTTGTATAAAGTATTATAAAAAAAGAGTCTACACTTGAATTCGAGGGCCAGCTTTGCATGGAGATGGCGATTTCTCAGCGACACACGTAGTATCTAAAAAGCCCACGTGTCCTTTTTCAATATTTTATCAAGAGTTACTATTTTTATTGGGCGGACTCGAACCATAGATTTGCTTAAATAACAACCTAAGTGCACATATACATGAGTTATGAGTGTGTAATTATGTGTACTTTATACACTTAGTTATTTATATTGGGTGGATCCGAACTGTAGATTTGGTTAAATAACAATATACACATAAGTATATGTAATTATGTGTATGGTTCAAATTTACCCAATATAAATAACCAGTTGTAACATCTAATTTCCCATATATTTTCTTGCTATCTCTTACTATTTTGTATTTTATACTCTAAGGGCTCGTCCGGTTACCTATATTGGATTAGATTAGATTAACTCCCTACTGACTAATTAATTATTTAGTTAATAGCATGTTCGGTTTTTTAGATTAGATTTCCTATTAAATTTGTTAAAATAAGTTATTATATATGAATTCTCTATAAAACCACTTGGTTTACAGTCATAAAATATGATTTTAAGGATAAAATTGTATTTTTCATTTTTAGTCACCCCCTATAAAATTAATCTCAGGGGGAGGGGTGATACTAATTTAATGGAATAATAGCATTTAATAGTGGACTTTGATTTTAGTAGCAGATTTAAGAAAGTGTGAATCTTGCCAACCGAACATGTTATTAGCCCCTACTATTTAGCCCTTACTATTTAGTCAGTAGCACCTTATAGCGGTAATCGAACGAGCCCTAAGTTTCTAACAACATGAATTATAATTTCAAAACAAAAAAAAAATACTTAATTAATTGGGCTTTGACCCAATAGGCTCAATAGGCCCATTAAAGAACACGTCCAATGTTACAAAGATCTTCATGAAAAATATCTTCTCATAAGCCCATGGGAAAAATAAGATTAATTTGTCCCAATCGATTTCATACACAAATTTCGTTGTAGTTTTAATTTTGGCAAGTTATTAAGCCTTTTAGTTTGAAATAATTTTATGACGTGACCGTAGGACAGTTGTCGGGCATCCTCTTCAACCATCATGGACCGTCGAAGGAAGCACTGGAAGTTATCTCCTTTGTGAAGTACTATGGAGACATGCTACCAAGTCCCGCTAACAATGTGATTCAAGAAAACACAGGAGGGAGAAATTGGGATTCTAGTTGGTTTTTTAACAGACGTGAATGTGTTCAAGGTAAACTTTGATGCGGGAATTAATGAATCTGATAGGACTGTTGGACTAAGTGTTATCGCTCGATTACATACAAGCGATTATTTTGATTGGTTGTCGAATTGGCTAAGAATAATAACTGGTACAAAGTTGTCGTTGAATGCGATTCTACTGTGGTTGTAGAAGCTATTTCGAGTCTCAAAGATGATGTATCGAGTTTTGGGACAATTGTGTCAGATATTCACAGTGTGACCGACTCTTTTGAAACATTTTATGCACGACACATCAGGAGGCAGAAGAATAGAATTGTACATGAAATACTAGCTCGACTTTCTTAGAGGGTCCATGTATTTTAACGAATTTATATCATTTGATTCAAAATGTTGTACTGATGGAAGTTCTTCCTTAAATAAAAGAATTAAGTTTGTTCTAAAAATATACCTTTTGTTTTTCAACCTACAAGGGTTTTCAAGAAATTACCAAATGCAATGAATGGCGTGTTAATATTTGTATTTTCAATTTAGTAAATTATTAGACGATGATTGGGAAACTGATTTTATTTTCCTGTCCAATTGGAATAATAATTAGGTGAAACGAAATTGTCAATCGCATTGATGTGTTTGGTTTAATTTTATGTCATTAATTTAACTTTAGAAAATAATTATATAATGATTTGATTAAATAATTAAAAAACAGGACCCTTTGTATATTAATAATGTACAATCAAAAGTTTGATTAAGATGTTAGAGAAATATATATTATTTAATATTAATCTTTTCAATTTTTATAATTCTCTGTTTTATTGATCTAATTATAAAATATGAAATATTGAAGTTGATTTTAAATCTCATTCTCACAATTTGGTCGACTATCAACTATCAAGCAAAATTTCGAAAACGGAGTGAGACACTTAGGCACTTACGCAACAATCGACTTTAAGCGAAATTTCTATAATCAAAATAAATTTCATTAATAACATATCAAGCCAAACAAACGTTGGTTAGCTTTCAGATCTTCCAACATAACAAAATTGTTCTTTCTGTCGAGAAAAAAATGAATGCCAAAATGCCCAAAAAGGGGCAAAAATGACTAAAAAAAGAAAAAAAGAACAAAATACGGAGAATGTGCAAAATGAAGGGGCAGTTGTAGTATTTCGGCAAGTTGCGGTGCTTTTCAACACTTCCACCTTTAATAAGAAATTATAGTCTGAGTTTCCTCGATGGCAGCATATACTTTCCATAAAAATCGATTCAGAATTTCATACGCTTAAACCCTTATAAATCCAAAAAAAAATTGAGCTCAATTTTCTACCACTGTAGAACTTTCGGTTAATCTGTGCTGATTTTCCCCAAAAATTTGAAAGGAATTTTTTTCGCATCAGCTCGTCGGCCGGCAATCGTAGTACGATCTCTGATCTCTCTCTCTCTCTCTCTACACTTAATTTGGGGTTTTTTTAATTAATAATTAGGTCATCGTGTTGCAATGATTCTTCTTTCTCCTGTAAAAATTTCGATATGCAATTCAGTTTTGGGAAAAAGAATTAAAAATAAAAACGTGCTTAAAAAAATTAGGGAGTGATAGATCCATATGCCCTAATTTTTATCTATTGATAAGTCGATCTATTTTTTTAGTGTTCTTGTTCGAACCATTGGTCATAGCTGCAGTATTCTGAGTCATTAGCATCAAAGCTTCTTATTTTGATGATGTTGGTTTGTGTGAGTTAATGATAATGGGATTTATATCATTTTCTTGTAAGAGAATCTATCTAGTTCATTCATTAATCTGAGAAGTCGGTTTGATTTCTTACAAGTAAATGTAGAATTGCGATACAACATGGTGCGCGATTTATTTGCCAGCAAGGCTAGTTGTTTTTTCATGTTTCGTTAAGTATCGGTGCAATCTGAGTTTTTCGATATGAAGCAGCATAAAAATGTGAACTCTTTCGGGTAATTTCGATATGATCAGGATTACCCAATTCAGATTCTTCGAATGAGCCATATAATCAAGAATCAAATTTTTCTCTTTTGGGGTTTTTATCTTTTGATTACTGTTATGTTTTAGTATTTCGATTCGCATTCTATTGGATAATATAGCATTTGAAATTTGAATGCTTCTTGAGCTGAAATTATGAATGCCGCGAAATGGAGAATTTGCAATTGCTGTAGGTGAAACGGAGAATTCTCGTGATAATTTTAGTTTTTCTTTTTTCTTGGAAAGTTTTCATATAAGTGAAATAAAATAATAAATACAATTGCCTCTATTGCTATATATCATCCCATTGGCACAATTCTCGTATATTTGAATGTTTTGTGGGGGTCCCAGGATGGCTTTGGTAACCACAGCCGAAGTTTGTGATGCAAACGCACATCTTATCGTGAATGGTGAGCTTCGAGCTCTTCACCCCGTATTCCAAATTTACGGCCAACGCCAGGTCTTCTCTGGGCCAGTTGTCACTCTCAAAGTATTCGAAGACAATGTTTTGGTACGTGAGTTTCTCGAGGAAAAGGGCAATGGCAGAGTTCTTGTTGTTGATGGTGGTGGCAGCTTAAGATGCGCGATACTGGGCGGCAATCCTGTGGTTCAGGCTCAGAACAACGGATGGGCTGGGATTGTTGTGAATGGATGCATCAGAGACGTCGATGAAATCAACGGCTGTGATATCGGCGTGAGAGCTTTAGCTTCTCATCCGGTGAAAGCGAACAAGAAAGGGATTGGGGAGAAGCACGTGCCTGTGAATATAGCTGGGACTAGAATATGCGACGGGGAGTGGCTTTACGCTGATACGGATGGTATTCTTGTCTCGAAGATGGAGTTGTCGGTTTGAGTTTCTATTTATACCTTATTGTATTTCGTATAGAATTAATTGATTAATTACGTGCATGTGTCGTCTTTACTGTATTCTACTATGTTGCAGCCTGTTTGGAACCCTTGAGATGAATGTGTGTTTTGTTTTCGTTTGTGAAATGTGTCCATGAATAATGTTTGGAAGTTATGTGAGTTTAAGATTGCTGTTTTTTTTTTTTTTGTTTTTTTTTTTGTTCCCCTGTTTCTGCTAATGTTATTTCTACAACCTTTTGTAGGACTATTTATTGGAATGCTATCATTTATAGGAATTAGGAAACAATGTGAATTGAGATGTTCAATTTTTTTGGGGGTTAATGTGATATATTTGTTTAAATCCGGGGTCAATGTGTAATATTAAGGAAGTTAGAGCATAATGGATGGAATTGATAAGAATTATATTATGGAGGGTATTTTGGACTAAAGACATGGGGATGAGTTTAATTGAGAGATTTTTTTTTTTTTTTTAGACTAAAATGCATTTAAGTCCCATGTGATGGGCCTTTTTGCCATTCGCCCTTATTGGAATGCTATCATTTATAGGAATTAGGAAACAATGTGAATTGAGATGTTCAATTTTTTTTTTTTTTTTTTTTTGAGAATAGATGTTTAATTTTATTGAACATAATACGTTTTAGATATTTATCGAATTGAGATATTTTTCTAAGAGACAAACATAATACATTTTTTTTCCTTTTAGTTTGAGATGTGCTATTAAATATGGGCTAAATTACAGTCACTCATGAGTTAATGTTAAATTGTGAAAAGACCTATCTTATTTGAGTAATTACAATCACCCTTTAACAATGAATCTTCTTACTCGTCAACTTTTGATGTGTGTCAAATTTAGTTGAATCTTCTAAATCTCGTGGAATGTTCTCTAGTTTGTACTCATTTTGTGCAAAAACACGGTTTCTGATGCACCACAATCTAATATCTACAAGTTAAGAGACACATCTTATAATCATCTTGTTTCAAAATGTGGAGCTCAAATGGGATAAAACAGTTACAAACTGGAGAATTTTTCACATAATCAAGAAGATTCCAATAAATTTGGCCGCAAGGAAAGACGTGTAAGATTCATAGCTGAGGGGGTTAGTTGTGATTATAATTCGATCTTACAGCAGGGGTGGTTGTAATTTACCTAACCAGTGACCGAAATTTACCGTTAAAGATATCATGTAAATGTGATAGAGTTTTAGACGTGCCATGATGCGATAGAGAAAAGGTAAATTGAGCGAAGGGCAAAAAAAATTAACGGGCTGTTGAGTTACCATGATTTACATTACTCCATCAAATACTTGTCGGACCAAGGAATGGGGGCCCTCGGGCGAGAGATTTCGCCTTTTGGTACAAGTGAAGGGGAAAAAATCAGCCATGCAATAATCGATTAAAATTTATATTATCTAAAAATATTAAAATTAATGCCAAATAAGGCTTAAAATTACAATTATACCCCTAATAATACATTAGCCAATCATCTAACAATTCAAATTACAATTACACCCCTTTTGAGGCCCAATGTCCATAGGACCAATACATAGCCTACATCCCAATAACTTTAATTTTGTCAGCAATTAGGATGTAAAACCCAAACAAAATAAAAACCCCACTTTCCAAAAGCTTTAATTTGTGTATGAAAAAGAAAAAAAAAAAAAAAAAAAAAAAGGAAATTAAAATTAAAAAGAGATGGAGATATAATTAGGTAATAGCTGGATTTTAACTGGCTCCACCAAAGGTATATGATAATAAAGTATAACCACATGCCACAAAGTTGTCCATATTTGGTCCATTGAGACATGGACAATTGTATTAGTTTTGTTTTGTTTACCCTAATGGAAATCTATACATATACATAATACACATACTTACATCTTTTTTGTGTAATTTGGTTGTAACAGTATGAGTTCTTCTTGCCGATGTTTTACGGGTCGAGCTCTATATACATTATTTATCCAGTGCAGTTTACATTTCTCATATGATTTACGAGTTATTGTATGATAGCAAAGTTTACACGTTATAAGTATATAATAGTTGTTTGTTTCTTTGTCAAAAAAGAAATATGAAAATTATTGGAGCATGCATCTTGCACGTAAGCATGGAAGCTTCTAGAAGGAAGTTAGTTGGAATATTCTGTTGTATTTACAAACATAAATAATCAATAATGAAGGGTTAATTTATTATTTCGGTTTCAAAATTAAATAAGTAAAGAGTTGCTTATAATCAAGGGTTATGAGGTTGGTTTAAGCAATGTATAATGGATGGAATTTAAATTAAGATTAATTGTATTTGAAGCTAATGGCTATGGGGTCTGGTTGACGCCATTGCCAACTAGAAACAGCACACTGTGCCTACCTTTGTCCAATGGCCACCTTGATTAATTAATTAATTAATTAATTAATTAATTAATTAATTAATAGACATGTATATATAGCTACTTTAAATATTCAATGTAAATTAATTAATTAAAAGGTGATTATATTGATATTTAGTAACAAGTTCGTATGATTAATTACTGTGAATTATAAAGCAGACATGTATTGTCTATGTGATGCTGGCAATTAAATATAAGGGGCTGTCAATAACTAAACACAACTCACAATCGGTGGTCTTTTTTATGAAAGATACTTTTATTTGCCATAACAGTTGTATTTTTTCCTAAACAATTTATAATGTACAGATATGAACAAATATTTAAAGAACTTTTGGTTTGTTATACATATATATATACAGACACATATATAGAATTATATATATTTTACACGCATCTATATTAATATATATATATATACACACACGTATATATATATATATGATTGTGTATAAATTGAGCATATGGTTTTCAATCTCTTATGCACAAGTGTAGGTTATTCAGTGCATCTATATATAGTTGGCTGCGGATTCCTTCATTAATGAATTAATAATTTCATAACTTCAGAGGAATTTAATTATGGATTTATTATGGATAACCCCCTTGTTCAGATTTTCTAATGAGATAGATCCAATTAATTTTTCCCTTTTTGAGATACACCCAAATATGCCAACTTGGCACAATATATTATTTAATTTCCCTTTAATACCCCTATTTTATTTTTGAACGGCATTTATTTCCTTAACTACGTGATATGAGATTGCTGATATCACTACAAAACCCTATATCTCCATTTAATATTTTAGGCGAAAGAGTGCCGCCGCCGGGTTCGCCGCTTCCACCTCCGACCGCCGCCATCTCCGTCACCGTTGTCGCCTCCTCCATCAGCGTCGCCGCCAATAACCGTTACCGCCTTCTCCATCATCGGCGCTGGATGTTCTCCCGTCACCACCAAAGTCGCCACCATCACCTGCGCCGCCACCAGAACCTCCACCACCACCTTGTCCTCCACCACCACCACATCCGACCACCTCCACCTCCAAGACCGCCAAAATCGACCAAGACCTCCGCCGCTCCCGCCTCCAAGGTCGTAACAATCAA